TAGTAGTAGTAGTAATAGTAGCAGCCGCAGCAGCAGCTGCAGCCTCAGCAAGACCTCTTAGCAGTGGCAACTAGTAGCAATAGAACTAGTAAGCAGCAGTTTTCATACAATGAGATATGACAGAATTAACAGCGAGAGCAAACAACAGCACTGGCAATGCGAATGCCGCGTCCGAACATGTTGTCTTCGCTTGGACACTTCGGCGGTTGTTTTTGGAGTGTCCAGAGCATCCTGCTCCCAAAAGCAAAGATTAAACAGGCACTGATTTACTAACTAGTCACTAGTACGCCCTTGCTGCCGAAAGCACCACGTAAGCATCTTTGTCGCTTCCGCTTTTCCGCAGGGCTGACAGAATTTGACCCAGAAGTTTGTCCGTCTCCACGCACATCGCCTCTCGAGGGACTCCAGTGGGTTGATCCTGCAATCGAGGCCTGTTCGAGCCTTTCGTCTCGGCAGTTCGGGATTGCAAAGGGCTTACTGCAAGTAGGCCGAGCTTGAAGACAAGGCACAGGCGACACGATGTGAAGCAGGGATGCGAAGTTTCTTATGGGGCGTCTATCCTCCTTTCCATGCCCGAGGTCTTCGAATCTTCAGTCAGACAGCATTAAGCAAGGTTGCTGCTGAAAATGATATCTTCGGTGTATCCTGCGGGGGAATGCTCCCCTCCACGGAAGCATCCAAGACAGAATCCCGCACCCAGCAGCGCTGACTCGCTTCATTTCTCGGTCCTGCATCCAAAAAACCTCAAATAAAACGATTCATACGCCCCCATCTTGAAGCAACGAGTCACGAAGTAGATCCGTCGAAAGTTTTCGATCAGCGCCGGTCGCACTTCATCCAGGCCCCAGGTGCCCTGAGGCGAAGCAGAACACGGTTTTCGCATCAACCACTGGTGGATGGGAGGAGATGGAGGCATGGAGGAGGAGGAAAAGCTGCAGCAGCAGCGGCAACATCAGCAGTAGCAGCAGAAGTAGCTGCTGCAGCAGGAGTTGCGTTGCAGTCATACTGGCGGTGAGAGTGGTGGCTGTAGCGGTAGCAGTAGCAGCAGTAGGAGCAGCAGCGGGTGGAGCAGGAGCAGTAGCATCAGACAAAATTATGGAAGCAGCAACTTTACACGGCATGTCTTCTTATTCTGTCTGTACTCTTCATTTAATGCTAAATGCTAAATTGTGTCCTGCTACAATGACTTCTGCCAGAAGTAAATCCACCACTTGTGCGACTACTGCCCCTGTTGATGATACTGCAGGCTACCTGCAATCAAAGCGAACAGCAAGATTTAGACTACTACGGTGATCACGGCATCGTCACCTTACTGTGAGTGCTTTCTTTCAGAGGCATCCACCTTGGCTTTCGCAGCATAGACGTCCGCAGGGTGCATCTCTTTTTCGCTGACATACTTGGGCACTGCCTGGGCTGACTGCACTGGCTGTAGAGTTTCAGGCTTTAAAGTTCAAGCCTGTGCGACTAGGGGCCATGTTAAATGACACGGCTTGGAGATGTATGGAGCCCCTCCAGGTCTTGCCTGAATCATAAAACTTAAGCTTCTGCTTCGGGACTCTAAGCTCATGTGAGTCTTCCCCTCTGAGCCTCCCCAGAAGTGCTGCGACAAGTGCTACGACACGCCAGGGCACCAGGTCGCCAAGCGGAGGCACCGCGAAGAAGTAGGTGGAGTTGGTTTGGTAGGGCGGGTGCGGGATGGTAAAGGAGCAGTACCTCAGCAACTCCCTCCCAGCGCCCAACCCAGCATGGCAAACTGATCTGGAGAAGCTCTTCTTCTGGGAGGTCGACACTCCACTGCGCTGACGAGCCACAAGAACTGAGGCGTCGTGGAGCGGAAGAGCCCAGCTTGCAGCAGTTGAGAGCACATCTCGGCTGTGTCGTAGTCGTGGTGACCTCGGCGAGGGATATCTGGGGTATCTTCCTGTGCCCAGGCTTCGGGTTGTAAGCGCCACGCCTGGTGCGGGTGCTCGGAGGTCGGTTGGGCGATGGAGCCACTTCGTCGGATTCCTGGGCTTCGAGCTAACCCTGACGACCCAATTCCGATGCCCCAAGAATCCCTGCATATGACCAAAGAGCCATGTGTTCTGGCCAAGGGCTTCGCGCACCGGGTCCCTTGAATCTGGAATCAACATCAGCCGTGCCGAGCCCAAGCCGCCCAAACCCGACCGAAGAGCGTAAAACCTGCTGCAGCCTCCCTGGCTGGGCCCTTGCTCTGTACGCTCAACACCGAGGCCCTCACTGGGATTTTCGGACCACGCCTTTGGCCCGGAGTATTGCGAAGATGGAGAAGGTAGAACGGCGGGACATGGTAGGACCGTTTAGGTGCGCTATTGGGTGAGTTTGCCGGGCTTATCGACGAGGGCGCAACATAATCGTAAAGATATTGGGAAGGGCTCCTTGTCTGTGCAATGTGAACCTTCAGCATATTACATCGGTGGGCATTGGAGAGGGAGGCATGTCTGCGGCGTGGGATGGGACAGGGGAACAGGTGCAGGATCAAAGCTTTCGCGGTGCATCGCTTCCGGCGAAGGCTTGGCAGCGTCTCGCGTTTGCACTTTGTCAGCTGTGCAATGTCCTATGCTGACACTCGGTGTGCTAGCAAGCCGGGTGAGTAGAACAGGTGCAAGTCCAAGGGCACAACAGTGTGCTACACAACCGGTGCATGGTACAGCCTGGATCCGAATTGACTGAGATGAAACAATCGGGCCATGCCTGTGGCCCGTGTCCAAGCGCGCGCCGCTTGTCCGACTTGACTCACGCCCTTGAAGGCGTCCTTGTCTCTACTTCAGCAGCTGCAGGTTGAATTTTCCCGTCTTGTTTATGCAACAGAATCTCGAAGCCTCATGGAGCTGCATGGCTGGAGCAACGACGCTAAAGGAAGCATTAAGAATGCCGAATGGGCTCCTTCAAAGAAGGCCTCTAAACCCCCTTTGCAGAGATGTAAAACGTACGACTACCGCTGCCCAGTGTCGGAGAAGCATCCTGATACGAATGTGAATTGAAGCATCATGAAACGATCATAGGGGGCTTAGTACTTGGGGGTATATTCTACCGTAACCTTTCAGGCACTATTGGCACTGAGGGATAAATGTTACAACCATTATATACAACAAGGTCTTCCGACTCCTGAATAGAACTCAAGGCTCGACCGTGAGGATAACACTTTGGTTTGTCTTTGAAGTTTTCCTGAGCTGGAGATGCTCTTTGTGGGGAGTTGCTGCGTGCGTGGCCAAGACGCGACGTCATAGTTCCCAAGCTGATCCAGTCCTGCCCCAGCATGTACCTGCCAGGAAGCCACGGCCTACCTGCATCTCTCAGTGCTTGGCTTTGTCCTGCTGCCGGTGCCCCTGCAGCTTGGTAATTTCAAGGGTTGCTCGAGGCACAAGTACTCCCCATCGCAGCTGAAAGCCACTTTGACTCCTCCCTGGAAGCTGGCTTGTCTTCTCACTTTGTTTCCAGGGTACCTTGCGGGGGCCCGCTGGCCAACGAGAACTTAGAGCTCACCACGAGCCACAATGTTTGGTGTCGAGCATCGTTTGGGACCACGAAGCCGTTTTGAGCAAAATGCGGTCCGGGAATAGGAACGAAGCAATACAATGATCACCTTTTTCAGCCATTCTGCTTTTGAACAAATCTGGACACTGGCCTGAGGTTGAGCATACAGTTTATTCGGAAAGGGTGCCGGGCCTTGCCCCACATCGTAATGTTGTAGCCATGGTCTCTCAGCACGTCTATGAAGGTGCCAGTGGTGTTCTGCTTCGCGGCGAAGCTCCGACAGTCCTGCCAAGGGAACAGGTCTTCAAGATGCCAAGACACGATGCTCCGATTCGGGGATCGGCGGAAAATGTAGTTTCCAAAGAGGTGCTGTCGTACACCTCTTTCTGGTGTGGGGTCATTTGAAGGCTTTGGCTACTTCCCTCAATTCTGAAACTTGTCAGACCTCACACATCGTTTGTGTACTGGCTGGCTACTCGCATGCCTGCCCTCACCAGCAAGTATAATGCAGAAGGCTGGAAATGATTGGTGCTAGGATCCCCTTATAGTCCCTCAAATTTCATTATCCTATAGAGCCATCCCCAAAACATTGCCATAATTTATCAGGCTCCTACATTACCGAGGTCTGGAATGCACCTCGAGAGAGAAGGCATCAACACAGCGCTGGTCGACGTTCGTGCGGGAGCCGTTGACACGAGCCTTGCCATGAGAAACCAAGGAGCTTCGCCGGGAACCATCGTTCTGACACAGCACGCAGATAAGTGCCAATTAGTGTCACTGCTGTAACTGATTGAACTATCCGACTGTATCTGCTATCTGTCTTTCCAATAGGATTTGTATGTGTTCGGGGAAATGGCCAAAAGATCACAGTAACGTGATTGGACCTTCAGCGATTTCGAAGACAAAGTCAGACGAATCCCAAGTCAAATTCTTCTTGCTTGCCCTCCTTCGCACTTCACACCTTGATGACGTTACTCAGGCAGAACTGGTGCTACATGGTGCTACACTATAAGAAGAAGCCCACGCTGGCTGCTAAGGTTATAGGCCGTGCCAAGGCACAATGCCCAGGAAGTTGTCCCACACCCGGATTTGTGAGACGGATCTGCCAGTGAGCATGGATGCACCTCAAGGAACGAATGAACCGTGCCAGCAAAGTATCTCAAGGCTCCGTACTTTGTAGAACAAGCTCCCGCAAGCTGAGCATCCGGCGTGCGGGCACGCACAGTGGTGATGAAGAGTAGGTGTTGGCGAACTGGGCACCTGTCGGGTAAGCTGGTGCATGGGCGGCACGATGGCTGTATATTTCTTGATCGACCAGAAGGGCACGTTCTTGACATACACTTTATGACATAAACACTCTGCAGCTTCTCGGTGCGAGTATCGGAGGCAACCCATGGAACAACAAGTGCGTCTTCTGACGAGCAAGCTCTGGAAGCGCGGAAGTGCTGCCCGAGTCCGAATTCTGAATTTACTTTTCTTCTGTGCAGGAGTCCCGGACTACCGAAGAAAAAGAAACAACTCTGCCAAGCCCTTTCAAACAGGTGACTTGACGTCAGTGGCGAACATATAGTATTGAACCGTCCGCACATCTACTGAGGGCGCTGTTGAGCGACTTACCTCCAGTATCCATCTTTCATCAGTTTCTCACTACTTTCATATCGGACCCTCCATTGAACCGGCCTCTCTTGGCTAGTGCCGTCAAGTGCTTCAGGGGAAGCTTCACCTGCGGAGATTCCGCATCCAGAAGTCTGCCGTCCATCTCCTGAAAGCAGTACGCATGAAGCGGCGTCTACCGGCCTAGCATTTATGTGACACCACATCAGCCAAGGAGCTTGAGAAATACTATAATCTGGGAATGGACATATGGATATGGACAGTCTGGTTCTTCAGGGAGGACGACGGAGTTTGTGCAACCCTGAAGCCTGCATTTAACATTTTTCAAGATTCGAACGAAGACCACCGCACCATCTTATCAATGCCAAGGTTCGTCAACCATGAGGAATAAAATGTGCGGCTTTGACCTCCGCTTCCATGCACCATTCGCAGTGCTGATCCAAGCACAGACCTCAGTGGTCTTGTCCGGGAGCAACAACCTCTCCAAATCTCTCCAATCTCTGTCAATCAAGTGGTTCTTAAGAAAGGATGCCGTCTTGCGAGTACAGCTCTGAAGTTCGGAAACCACTTGTGGGAAGCAACTGCGTTGCCCTTCCCGTGGCCACATTTATCCACGTTTAGTTTCTAAAGCGTGTGTGGCTAGCTCTGAGCTCCGAGCTATGGATCTGGGGTTCTGGGATTTCAGGCCAGCAGCTCGGCTCTACATTGCATGGCTGCAGCAGCCTCGGAGACTAGGAGTATGATCCGTTGAAGATCCCCACTAAGGACAGCACCAGGAGAAGCCTCCTCAGCCATGAGGCCATTGCGGGTCCTTTATGAAGAACCGTGGCTAGAACGTATGCGGCCCGCCATTGTGCACTGGGGCTCCGAGCCAAGTTGCGAGAGGCTGCTTCAATTGACAGGCATGGTCGAGAAGGAGAGTCAGTACTGCCACCACGACAGACCTTCTGTTCTTCTGCCAGAGCCCCAACAAACTCCCGACCTTTCCGGGAACTGCCGAATTGCGCTGATGGTTCGCAAGCCACAACAAACTTCCCGCTGCACAATTCTGGAACCGCGGTCCTAGCCGCTAGCCTCAGTCCCTAAAGTGTCTCAAGAAAGCCGAAGCCTTCCGGGGCCCTGCAAGGCCTTCCAAGTATGTTCCCACCTCGACAGATGCCATTGTTCTCATTGGGCAGAGCACTACAGCGCTGTCTTAGACAGCGAAGGTGCCGAAGAGTCAGCCGCTACCCCGCACAGGCGCGCAGCCCATTCAGCTGCGCAGCAAGCCACGAAGTGTGCGACTGCCGAACGCGTGTTTAGCACATGTGAAGTGCTCGCTTACTCTGGGACATGTAGCGTCGCTTCAGGCGGGCCCAGCTCAGCTGGGGAAGGATGAGGATGTAGTGACCCACCGGGCCGATCGTGCTTGTGAATGCCACGCATGCCAGCAAGATCGAAACTGGAAGCAACAGGCCTGTAGCATCCCAGCTCAAGAGGCCAACCAACCCTTGGAACAGCTCCGTCATGCGATCCCGGAATAAGAAGTGAACGACGTAGCAACCGAGCGTTGTGTTGCCCCACCACGTAGCATTGACTGGCCAATACGCTGTGCCCAGTGCAAAGAGAGCTGGCTGCAACGTTGTAGTCAACAGCTCAACGACGAACCAGTTGGTATCGGATCCACTCTCCAGCATGACGTTGGGGTAATGAAACAAAGCCATAAACATACCTGCGTTGAAACAAAGCTTCACTCTCGCACGGTTGAAAGATGCCTGACAAATAAGGTACACGGCTGGCTCCGGACGAAAGCCTACATCGGCAACTGCCGGCATGGAAGAATGTTCAGAAAAAAGATTATCCTTGTACCCGAGCTGCCCAGTATCATGCTCCCTGCTGTGGCCGCCGCAGCCCAGGTCGGACTTCGAGGGAGACGCCGAGAAAGCCACGAAACGATGGGGCGGAGGTAATGAAAGCAAAACCTAACTGTGAAAGCAACGAGAAACGACCCGTGCCCAAGCAGAACCTGGTACGCTCTATCTCGACTGACCAAAAGGCTCAATGAACAGTCAGGAAGCACGTAGAAGCTGGCGTACCACTCCACCCACCGAATCCAGATCCAGCAGCCATCTAGCAACCAGGTAACGAAGAACCTTGGCTAAGTTCTCGTGTTGCACTGAGCTGCTATCACATGTTCTTGGGGAACAAGATGCTAGCTGATTGGTGCCGCCTGCCTTGCACCCTCTCGTCATCCGACTAGATGGGCTTTGAAACCACAGGCTGTCCCACTTCCCTGCCAGGCGGCTTGGCGACTGGCTGCAATCCACTTGTGCAGACGTTTCCGCCAAAGACCGGGCCTTTGTAGCAAGGAGACTTGGCCATCCAAGGACTACAGAGACTGAAACAGCCGCCTGGAGAACAAGATCGCGACGAGACACCAGCGTAGCTCCACCAGGCAGCGAGCCCCACTTGCACCCAAGGTGGGATGCAGACCATGTCGCAGAGAACGACGTAGACCTTGGCCTGCACGACCATCAAAAGATACCATCGGTGCCCGGAGGTGACCTAAGCGAGCACTCGGCGGCAGTTTTTTAAGCCTCACAGAAGCTCGAGTGGAGTTCTACTTCCTCCATACTAAGACTGGGAGCATCGGCCCACTCCATGTATGCCTGGTCCCAGCCAGTGGTCTTGACTGCGGAAGCATAAGCTTGCCACGTCTTCGTGGGATAAACGAAGCCGCGAGTGAGCCAGCCGCACATTTGTGGCAGGGGAAGGGCGATAAAGAGGTAGATGCCCAAGATGTAGAGATCCATCCAGGAAAGCCGCAAGCGTTTTCGTTGCCCTATACTTTGGGGCCTGGAGTCCTGGTAGGCCCCAAGCATGATGAAACCGAAGAGATCCTGATCGTTCCCAATGGATCGGATGATGGCCTCAGACCACGGGGCGACGTGCGAGGATGCCAAAGTAGTGCAGAAAGCCAAGGACTCCATCTGCGACTTGTCGTTCGGGTCCGTGGTCATGGCACAGAGTGCATAGTGGTCCAGCAGAACCCCGACCATCCAAAAAGCATAACAACGATGGATCACAGCATTTTCCAGAATTGCCCACTTCGACATGGACCTGGTCGTGGGCACAGGGACGTACTCTTCTATGGGTTCTATGGCCTTGCCATGTGCCGGCATGAAATCTTGTTACCCCGAACCTCTCCGAAACTGGCCAGTATGCAAGCAACGTCCCGACCTTGAACAAAGTATGTAAATGACGGTTGGAACTGTAGATGCGAGAATTTTGCCAGTAGACAAGGTCTGAAATCACAGATTCAGGTTTGTGCATGGTGTGGGCATGTTGAGGCTCAGTCAAAGCTCTTAAGGGATGTAGGCTGTTGTCGTTATCTCACGGCGGCACCATGGCCTCATCTGTCCCAGGGAGTCGAGCACCGTCTGAGAAGCCTCCAGCACGTGCTCTTCGGCCATCGCCTTCCTTGCAGCCGTGGTCAAATGTGGGCCCAGTGGCTTTTGTTCTTTGAGCCATGGAATACAGGATGCGCACCCCTACAAGAATCTGGGCATTTAGGACGTGAGCGCAGCTGACGAGGGGGCCAACAAGACAAAGGGTCAGCTCAGCAAAGTTGATCTTGCCATTCGGCAGAGATGGCAGGCCTGTCGGGCCAGCGTCCGTGGATCAAACCGAGCTCCCGACCTGCAGCCCTCGAAAGCCCCGGCAATGTACTTTGGAAGGCTGGAAAACGCCCGAACCTGACAACCTGGAGAGCCGCATGCCTTCGAGCTTCTCCTGACAAAAATGCCTGTGCCTAGCTTGGGAAAGGGGGGGGGAAGCTGCCTTGCTCCAATATCACGATGTGCTTTGGAAGATACGCCGGGGCCAGCGTAGCCTTGCAATGCCTGTGCAGGTCGTCGGTCTGAAGCTCCACGCCCTGCCGAGAAGCTCTGAGTAGGCTTGGAAGTTCCCTTTTTTGAGATCCCGGGTCGTAGTGAGCAAACACCCTGCAGTTCACTGGAGAAGGATGTACGAATACTCTCTCCACTGGAGTTTGCAGGAAGCACTTGGATAAACTGTGCCAGAACTCCCGTCGATCAAGGAAGCGTTTGAACGATCAGGACCCTGCATTGCCTCGCGCGGGGACACGAAAACGACCAGCTGTTGTGGGGAACTTGTGGCCACAACCGCAGTGCGGGCTACCGCCCAAAGCTGCTCCTGGGCGAAGGCCCCTGAAAGAGCAAGCGATTGTGTAAACCTGAAACTCCACCCAGAACAACATGAAAACCACACTAAGCTTTTGGATTGCTTAGTTCCAGAGTCCACTATGGTGTGCGCTTCCATGCGGTGACAGAAGTATGCATGTGGGATGCCTGCCGAGACGCATCAAGGAGCGGGTTGTTGCGCAGAGACTGCATCTCTTCATCGCCACCCTGCCACTTGCCCAAAGGAACCTTCTGGCACTGGCAAAGGCGAGGCAGATCGCATGAAACACAGCTGGGTTGGGCCAAGAAAGGCGTCTCAAGAAACTGAAAAGCCTGGGGAACCTAGACAAAAACCCCAAATATACAAACGCTGTAACCCTAAACCCACTAAACCCCAAACTGTTGGGGTAAACAGTCAATTAAAAAATTAAAACAAACATTAAAAATATGTTTTAGCATATCCTTCGCCTCAGGGGGGGGGGGGGTTTTCTCTCCCTGCCTTCTTGGGACTCCCCGAGCGCGGCTGGGTGAACTTCAAGATGGCGGACTCGACCTCCTCCGGTTCAATGCGGACGCCATTCACCTGCTGAAAACCCTGTAAGTCTGTAAGGGGGTTCTATAAGGGCTACTTTAAGTCAATAAGGTAAGGGGGGTTTATAAGGGCTACTATAAGTCTATAAGGAAAGGGAGTTTCCTAGGGGCTACTCTGTAAGGCCTACTACTAGGGCCCTCTGGCATAGGGGCCTTCGTTCAGAACAGGGGTTCGGGTTTCTTCAGATGTTGCTGCAACTCGTTTGCTGGATCGCTGCGTGTTTTGCAGGCCTGGTCACGTGTCTAGCCGTAAGTCAGCCTAGTATGACTGCTGGAACTCAAACAGCTCTCCATTCGGTGTGGCTTGAAGCCAACTCTCGACACTAATATTGTAGTAGTTTGTACAGCTTCCGGAACTGTACTGAGCTGGCGAGGTTCAGACTGTTGCGATACCGGGCTGACGGCACATCGGGGTGTGCCGGCCTCTGTCTCCCATGCGCAGGCGATGTCGGTTTTGGATGAAACGTTAAGGGAGCCCTTGTTGTCTTGACGATGACCCTCAACCTCACTCCAAGCCCGTGAAACCTCAATCCTCAAATCGAGAAACCCTTTGGAAGTCTTTTGAGTCTTTCAAGTATTATACTATATACGATAAAATATTATACGAGATTGTCTTATACTGTATTATCTTATGCTATATTATATTATACTACATTATATCATATGCTATGATGTTAAAGGTACCCTTTAAGGAGCCCTAAAGACTTTCTGCATCGCCAGGTCGTGGCAGGCCTTCAGCTGGCGATCAATGCGGCCAATCACTTCCAGGACGCCCTGCACTGGACGGGCAAAAGCTTCTTCTTAGGGTTTAGGTTTTGTTTTAAAGGGCTAATTAAGGGTTTAGGAGGGTTTAGGGGGGTTTAGGGTTTAGGGCTGCTTCTTTTCTGGATTTGTGACTTTAGGACTTGAGGCTTTAGGCCCTAAGGTTCAGACTCTAGACTGAGGACTCGGGTTTCAGCGAATCGAGCTTGCTGCGGTGTGGCAAGCTGGCAGGACAGCGTCTTCGGTCGTTCGAACTCTCCACTTTTTATCCTGGCCCGCGCAGAAGCCGAAGCCATGTCTCTGCAGCCCATCCACATCCATCCACAAAAATGCCGGCCAGAAAATCTGGCGAAACTTGCATGAAACCCGCAGCCCTGAACTTCATGTCTCGCCTGAGTCCAACGACCCAGGTCTCCAGTTGCATAGAGGCGGCCGTACTCTGTGTCGACAAACCTGAACTGGCTAACTGCGTTCTCCCTAACTTTACCTTTACATAGCGTAGGGGACATGTGGAGCCCTTCGGCATCCTTATCATGCTTTAGAGTCCGTACTTCAGGCTTGGTTTCCCCACAAACGCGCACAACAGTTTCCCACGCCCATAAGGCTCCGGGAAGGCATTTCAAAGGGCGGAGCCGCCGTAAGGCGCATCCCTGTGTCACGTTGGGCGTTAGCACGCGGTATCACATAATTAAGCTGAGTGCCAAAGGGAAGTAACAACAGCGCACGAAAGTCAAGGTGTAGCTTCAAGACAACCAACACAGTTAGAGATACGATGGAGCTGAGCAGCTTTTCTTTGTTCAACTCCGGGAGGTGCAAATATCCGGAAGCCAGGATGCCTCCGAAGCAAATCCTCAGCTTTCTGCTGGCGATTCTTTCTTTCTTTGGGCAGCGGCTGCGGTCGAGCATGGAAAAACTGTCAAACATGTACCGAACTGGCCTACCGAAGCGGCCTTCTGCACTATGCATGATGGCAGTATCATTCGCATACCAACCACTACCAACCCCACACTGAAGTCGGCGCAGTATGTCCGCAATCTATAGCGAATAGAGTCTATAGCATCTATATAGCCCTGTCATCCCTACCATGAGCTTAACTGCAACCGTACCAGAACCTCCCGAAGCGCCTCTTCCTCGGGGACCTGAACATTCGCCCGGGGTTGCGGTGCGACTAAGCGTAGGAGGCATCTATTCCACCCTCCTCTTCTTTCTGATGCTGAAGCTACCTCCCTCCAAACCTTGCGATTAAGATTCAAAGATGCGGCGCTGTTTCAAGCGCAAGTAAAAACCCATGCCAAAAGCAAGCACCCCCCCTCTCCGCTCGCATGCGTGCATTGCGCGTGAATGATAGTCGCACGGCCCGTCCATTACGCGGTGCATCGCGGTGCGTAGTTTCGCCCGGCCTTGTACACTTGCGGGGCAACGCCAAACTCTGCCAAACCTTCCTCCGACCATATAGACCACGGCAAGGTAACCAGCCGAACATGCTTGCTGTAATGGCTCTTGAACCACTCTACTGTCGCACAACCAACTTTTGCTGACATACAGTAAGCGATCATAAGCACCGCTTGGGCTCTCCCCAGGCGTATTGGGCGCAGCCGCTCGCAGGGGCCTCTCGTCCACTGCCATGAGGTACCTGACACCGTGCAAATCTTGCAGATATGCTCGATCATAGGACACACCCGACACAGGCCCTGAGACGTAAGCCAAACTCACCCAAAGCTGAGCCTGGGTATTCCCCACTTTGGCTTTGGGAGTGTAGACGGGGACGGCGACTCGACAGGTCGTCGCAAGTCGCTGCTTTTTCCTCTTAACATGTCCCGCTCCTGCCAACACCTTTCTGCGAAGGGATGCTTCTTAGAAGGCCAAGCAGCACGTCTGCGTAGGGTTGAGGGAGCCCAGCTGGCACTCGGCTCGGAAAGAGCTGCTCATCCACGCCCTCTGCTGGTACCTGACAAGGGGACTTCAACTGCATGCTTGCTTTTCCAGCGGCAAGACTGGTGTATTTCTTGCATCTCTGACTTGACGGGGGCGAAGTTAGTCAAATCAAAAAACACAAATTCTTCGATCTTGAAGTCTGCAAGATGTAATTGGAGCACCTGAGCAGCGCTCTAATCACAGATTGGACTCTGGCGAAGGCTGTGCTTTGTTCATGATTGGGGGGAAACATGTCAAAGAGACGCAAGACCTTTCTGATTTGATCTTATCCTCGCCTGTAGCAAACGAACAGACACCCTCGGCAAACCTTCTACACTTCCGAACCAGATCTTCGGGCAAGCAGACGAACTCCCTTGCGAAAGGAGCCTTTGCAATCGCAACAAAAATGGTGGAGCCTTGTAGATGGTGCAGGAGCTCTCTGACGCTCCATAGAAGTTGCCTCGGCGGGGAGGGCCAAGGAGGGAGGCCCTAAACCCGAAAGCTCCTCCGAAGCTGCAAATCCCTGAAAAAGGTTTCGATGTCGCCAGGAAGCGGATTGTGGCATTGAGGTGTGGCATAGAGACTGCACGGTTGGCCAAAGCCGTGGGCAATGGCTCACCCACAGTGGTGATGTGCTGGAGGGAGCTGAGGCGCCGATCTTTTGCGTGAAGTTGATGAACATCGAGGAGAAGGTCAAGGACCGAGGGAGTGATCATCAAGACGCTGACATTGTGCTGATGGACCACCCGGGCCATGTAGTCTGGGCTCTTGTGTCCATCGCTACTGGCAACAACGAGAGAGCCGCCCCGCAGCAATGCCGGAAAGAACTCCCACTCCATGACTGCCCAAAAGTAAGGCGACTTCAACAGTTGCACGGTACGCTCTGTAACCCCGTGTTCTTCCGCCCAGAACCATGCCCCGTGAAGGAGATGTCGGTGGTCGTAAATGATGCCTTTCGGTGCCCCTGTGCTGCCGGAAGTGTAGATCAACATCGCAGCTTCTGAGGTCGGCGGTCGTGCCCGCTGTTGCTGTCCCTTCATCGCTGTGGGCTTCGCACCCACCAGGCTGAAAAACAAGGACGACGCCTCGGTGCCGGCAAGAAGCAAAGGGATGGCAGCGCTCTGCGCTTGTGGTCTGAACCGCTCGGAGTCGGCAAGGAGCGCCCTTGCCTGGCTGTGCTGCAGAAGCACAGCGACCCGGTTTTCAGGAGCTGCTGCATCGATTGGCAAGTAGCCCCCACCGCTGGCAAGAACCCCTAAGACCGCCACAACCTGAGCACAGCTTCGCTCCATGCACAGCGCAGCAATGCGCCCAGGCTCGAGGCCTAGATCCTGCAAGGCATCCGCAAGCTGCAAAACTGCTGCTTGCAGCTGTGCATACGTGATATGGATGTTCGCAGGGGAGGGGACGATCAAAGCTGTGGCCTCAGCTCTTGCTTCAGCTCTTTGCAAGATCAGCTCGTGGATAAGTTGACTTTCCGGATAGCGTGGCCGTGGTCCCGAAGCTGAACATGCCCGTGTCAGGTTCCCGAGCTCTGCATCGGGTGGGCCTTTGGGCAGAATCTTCCTTTGCTTTGGCCCTGTGCAAAAGTGCACAGATGCAGTGACACCAAGCCAGCACGCTGAATACAGAAGGAAGAAGGCCACTTTATGCGAGAGAGTCCAGGCTTCATTCGGGTTCCGGTAGTCTGTCAGGTACGGCCAACCCAGTTGGGCGATTTGCTCGTCCGACTTAAAGGTGAAGTTCTCTGCATAGACACAGCGTACCGAAGCCACGCTCAACAGTAAGAGGGGCCATGATGCCATCGGCTGGAGTGAAGGGCTTAACAACCGCCAAGCGAAACGATTTAATCGGAGTATAGGACATGACAAACTTTGGCTGGAGTTGAGGCAGTAGGCAATAACACGTATGTAGCCAGCTTCTTTCGGAAGGTCAAGCTTGTCTTGGCGACTCGATAAGGATTTCTCACGGATTCTCCTGCAGTGTCCCTCGCGTGCATGGAGATAATGTAGGTTCTGAGAAAAGTGCCTAAGAAGGGGCTTCCTCCTTTGAAATTGAAAGTTCATCATGTTGCGTCCTGCGTGCAAGCCTCTGTAGCTTGGTGCGGCGGTGTGTGCATCGACACGTTCACTGAGCTCAATGCAACCCATGGCACAAGGCGACCATGCGCATACTCAATCGCCGCTGTGTCTACAAGACATCCGGTGAAACTGAATAACTAAAGCAGGGGACCGTCTGCTCTGGACGACCTGCCTTCATGCTTCGATCACTGCCATCTGCTGGTAATAATTGGCACGGCCCCAAGGAGGTACCCCGCAACCCCCGCAACCCAAGTCATCAGACCGACTCCTATGATGAGACTTTCTCAACTTGAAGACTGACCTCAGATAGTTTTGCAGTGGCCCAATTTTCACCACCTGAGAGTTTCGGACCATTGTGTGTCTTCGGAAGGAAGTAGGCAGCAGCGGAAGCCAGGAACCCAAAGAGCAGGACTACGCGTGCTTCAGTCGGAACTCGCAAAGGAGGCTGCGTGGTGCAGATAGCGGCCCAGTGGCGTGTTGCCTCGGCACGAAAGCTTTCAGAAGCCAAGCAGTCTCAACCCTTTTCGCTCTCACTCTCACGGCCCTACCCTTCGCATCGTGTCGAGCAGCTGAACTGCAGCTTGAACTGGTGGGAGGCATCCGTCACAGTCACCAAGGCATCTTCACCTGGTGCCATCGCGCGAGTAGATGTGCGGGGGTCAGAATGACTGACAAAGATCCAGGAACCAACAGAATGACCCAAAGACTGCTTCGCTAAAGGATTCTAATTCTGTTTGCAGCACATTACAAACCTCTCCAAGTATCGAGGCCGCAACCTGGGAGCAAACTGCCCGCCACTTCACCGACTCCAGTTTCCGATGTCCCATGCGCTCCCTGAACACTTCTCTGAATCTTGCATTCCTTGAGCAAAAAAAAGAGTCCGATCAACATACCATCCCCACATCAAAGCAGGCCTGTATCCTCTTCGTCGCTTCTGTCGCCCCTGTCCTCGTCACCAAGCATGACACGCGCCAGCAACTTGACGGCCAGGAAGCCCCAGGGCTGCGGCAAGCGGAGGCTTTCCAAATCTACGGAAAAAACTTCGGGGCTTCGGTTTCGCAGAGTCCCTACAGTCCCTACACAGGCCCAGGCCTTTCAGGTCGACGTGCTAAGTGCATCGAAGTTCGGTTCAGGTCAAGGGGGGTCTCGCAGAAAGCTCAGAGGGCTTTGCAAAGCGCCCGCCACCAGTCAGATCTCGTTGAGACTTAAAGAGTCGGGTCGTGCCTTCGCGAGTTGCGTCATGAAGCCGGGCTTTGGGAAACTCGTCGATACGAAGGAAGATGCTAGGACCGCCCTGAAACTGCTGGGCCTTGGTTGGCCCTTGTTGATAGCGCGTCATGCACACCCGCGCCGCGTCCACCATGCTCTGGGGCACCTGCTGCCGGTTGAGGCTCTGGTGCTCCAACCCCCATCTTGTTAGGGAGCTCAAGTTTCGGTTTTCCGGTAGCTTCGGGTGCAGGTAACGACGTGAACTGAGGCGGTGTTGCACCGCATGCGTGGCATAGGTGATGCCCTTCATGTTAGAAGCGTGTCCTGGCCCTATGATTTTGTGCATTGACCTGGGTGTCGAAAGAAAGCTCTTGAGCACGGTATGTACCATGACATTTTCCAACCATTTACAGCAGCAGGTAGGAGACAGATGTGAACCGGGGTGAATGTCGGAAGATTGTTCTCATTCAAACAACTGCCCAGCCGCAGCTGCAGCATCAACTCCTATCTTGACGTTGCAGTCCGTGGCACATGTTCACCGAGAAGATACGCGGTGGACATGCGGACGACCAGCAGGAGGTACGCGAAGTCTGTTCAGGCAGCGGGCTTGAGTTGGAAGCGAATCTGCTGGGATCGAAACTTGCATGTCTCACGAAGCGGCTGAAGAAACAATGTCCCGAATCAAAGTTCTCCACCATGCCGAGGGACCATCCACGAGCTTGAGCTCTGCATCGGCGCGGCCGCGGAAGAGTTTGGATGCTAATCCTGGCGCAGGCTGAAGATTCAGAGGCATCTGCCGACACCACTTCATGAATGGAGGGCCTGAGCCGGAGACCGCATTGCCACAAGCGCAGAATCAAGTCTCGAGATGTCTCGAGTCTAGAGTCTAACTAGTCTTGCAGAATTCGGAATCGTCAGTAAATAGATGGAGCATAGCATTCATGTCGTGCCGAGTATTGTGCTCTGGTCCATGGTCCACAGAGGAAGGGTCTAGCACAACCACATCGACCACAGCAAGCAAAGCATGGCCACGAATGCCCAGTTCGTCAGCACGAAATGCCGAGGGCATGCAGGCCAGAGTCTCGGGCTGCCGAATGAGCTCCAAAACTTACAGCTCAGACGCAAAAGTCTCGACGAACAGGTCTGTGGATGTCTTTCCATGGATCGCTTTTTGTGAGCTTCCAGTGTGCCTGCCGAGCGCCAGATGCCACCATGGCCCGCTCCCCACTGCGAAGCCGGATCGAGGTGGTCCTTGCTGGGGGATCTGGAACTACCTTCGAAGGAGATCCCAGCAAGCTGCTGTTGTGATTACTGGGTTCAGCGAAGCATCATAGACCTCTAAGATGCCACCCTTTCTCACGTCGATGGCACGAACCTGAAGAACTCAGCTGAGCTTCAGGATGTCTTGAGGTTTCACGTTCGGACGGTCGCGGCCATTTCGCTTCGAGTTCTGCGGTTGGCGTGATGCTTCAAGCGTAGACTTGTGTCGGAATCTCCGGCCATTAAAACCAACTTCAATCACTCAGAAAAAAAGCCCAAACAGCCTCGCTTGAGCTCTGAGTCCGGTGCCAAGCCATCGGTGACCTCCCAGGCTAATGCAAAGTCATCGGTCTGAGTCGGGGCCGGGGCTCCCGAAGCTCGCATCGTCCTAAGCGCGCCGTCATGGATTGAAGGCTGAGTGTCCGGTTCGCACCTCCTTCTGAAGTTCTTTAGCTTCAGGACTCTCCAAACAGTTCCGAGTGTCCGGTTGCTATTGCCGGATCTCAGTCGTGCCAGACCCTCCGCACTGGACGCGTCCCAGATCTCAAATCCTGGGCAACGACGAAGGCTGTTCTTGGAAGATCTTTGCAAGCCTTGCGGCAACCGCTGCCAATTCAAACCGTTCATGAGCATCTTCCAAAACACAAGAACGATCAAGCAAGGGTGGTGGCTGATCGCGCCAACTTGAGCCCTCAAGCGCTTGCAAGTACCCAACCTTGACAAACAAGCAGCGTCGCCACTGTAGACCTGCACCTGCTTGTTAAGACCGTTTGCCATTGCCAAGCCGCTGATGATGTAGAAGAGGAAAGGCAGCAGGTTCCACGCAACGCATCGTCCGGCTTGCTGCCACACAGGGCCGTGCCATCCTGAACACAAATGCGCTCAGCCGGCACTCTTTCGGTGAGGAAGTTACTAGACTTCAATACGCTTAACATCCTGCCAAACTCTTCTAAAGAGGCTTCCATTTCTTCGGAATTGCCCATGGAGGCCTAGCGGGCCTAGCGCCCACCTCAATGCTGCTAGAGACGGCCCGAACGGCTACCCGTACTACTAGCAACTGCATGGTCATCATCCGGAATCGTGATCGTGTCCACGAGACGAGAAACAGTTTCCAAAGCCCCCAACCCTTCTGAGCTGCATGACAGTTTGGAGACTCGGCGGTGCTTTCAAGGAGGGGCAAAAGGAGCAGAGGTCTTGAGCGCTTCAGAAGAAGTTTCGTGCTTTAGTTGAATTGGCACCAGTACTTTGCCAAGACGCTGGCATGTCTCAAGGCGCACCGAATCGAACAACCCTACTGCAGAGGGCCTCTGGCCCGCCATGTAGGTTTCTGCATGTCAGAGACATCCACTACCGCATCGAAGGGAAGCCGTACTTGCAGCATCGGATACTGGCCTTATTTGTCGAGACTCACGTTTCTTTCAGTCGGTGTGCATATAACGGATCCAACGATCGGATGCGCCGAATGGTTTCAGCTCCCATCCGCTTCTGCAAGCCCTTTAATATTCTCTCGATGTTCTTGTTTCAGACTCCTCAGCCTGGACAAAGCATTGGCTCCCTCTGTCTGGTCAATAACGGGTAGTCGTTACGACGGGAGCAGTCTCTTCACGTGTGCTGGCTGAGGTCCTAAACCACCCCGAGAACCCACTGCCCATCCAGCTGGTCGGGGGGGTCGAACTGTCGAGAGGATGAAAACATCAAACGATGCAGGTGGAATCAAGCCCAACTGAAGCATCATTCATTGGACTGGCTCGATCCGGAAATGCGAGAGCTACTGCATAGCTTCCTGATCGCTGCGATTTTGCGAAGGATGCCTACAGCAAGACAACATGTCACATTCCCTGAGCTTCCGACCTATGAAGATGTCCTCGCTTTCCCAGTGCCCTTCGCGAAGGCAAGGGTTGCAAACCACAAAGAACAGAATGCCAGCGGCAGTGGGAAGAAGTGCCTAGATACACAAAGGATGCTGTACACGCAGAGCGGCTTGTTGTCATGAAGCTTCTGCAGTTGCTTGTTGACGAGCCCTGCTATGTGCAAAACTCTGCTTTAATGGCCTGGTCCAAGTCGCTGCAGTGGAACCTTCACCTGTGCACCAAGACGCAACAGTGCTTGGTTCATGCATGGGGTAGGCTGCTGATCTTTAGCATCTGCAACAGGGCGCCCGAACAAACAGAGGCGTAGTTGATGCCTGAACTCGGAGCAATTTCGGGACACATGAAAGAGGCGCAGCCTGGAATCGAGCCAGACCGACAGTACTCTCATGTTGTCGATTAGGCTGACAACGGGCGTCGGCGGCATGATCAGGTTCAGAGAAGGACCCAGGCTGGTGAAAAAGGCCCTTTAGAGGTGGACTGATAGATCAGCGGCAGCACCAACATGACCCAGTATAAAGCATACCTTCACGGCGTTCATCACCCCTTGGCTTGATCCGGCAGTCTTGAGCAACAATCGCTAGCCGGACGACTCGACGGCACGCGTAGAAGTGACATCTTCGCCGTGCATCCCGAGGCCATCTCGGAAATCTTACCACCATCTGATCAGCATTATCGGACACATCCCAGAGGGTCTACAGACGATTTTCTGGTCAACATCAAACATCTAACAATCCCTGTCAGTGAAGCCATAAGCCATGGTCCACAAACATCAAAGTACAGAGCAAGCGGGATCGGCAATCGGGAGCGCCGTCCAGGAGTCTACTGTCGTTGGGCCGCTCGAGCAGATGCAAATTAGCGTGTCCGCCGTTGTCATAAAAGCGGCAGCCCGAGCATCATCAGCATCATCGCTTTGTGGCTTTGCAGGGGTGCCTTCTGCAAAACAACTCCGCGCCAGCATCAGCAGCATCATCCGCCCGCTCTTTTTGGTGGAACTCCAGCAGTAGTATAGTTGCACCAGCATCAAGCCACCAGTTTCGGAGGCCCCCACGTTCGGCCCAAACATCATCAGCATCATCGCGCCGTGGCTTTGCATCCAGGCAAGCCGGTGCCCAGCATCAGCAGCATCATCCGCTTGCCCTTTTCACTGGACCTTGCATGCGGTCGGAAAGCTCTAGCAGCAGTATCGGAAAGTATGAATCATCAACGGAAATGTGGGCGTCGACATCAGCAGCATCAGCATCCAGTATGCCTCTGTACACTATGCTGCCTCGCCGGCGACACTTAGCTTCTTGAAGACTCGCAGGAAAGTCCGATTCGCAGATACAGCTGGCCGGTCGAGGGTGGCCCAGATCCAACATTGGGTGCGTCTTTGGCAGCAAGCAAAACAAAGATTAGGATCCACTGCGAATGCAAGAGCAGACGAAGAGAATGTTGAGTTTTGGGCAGGGGCAGCCTGGTGATGGTTGGTGAAGTCCTCGTCGAACTCGCAGAGTTCCAAAAATCGCGTCTCCATGAGCTCGATGCCAAGGCCCTGCGACAGAAACATCCATGATCCGCAAAGCGCGAGCAACTTCTTCCTGATGCTCCCGCAGGCTGATATACCGGATGCCTCCAGTCGCAGACTAGCTGAAGCAATCCATGGCGCCTCTGCCTCGTCCGAGAGTGTGGTGGGTTCGGGCGCCGCCGGCGGAGCCTCAGGCAAATAGCACCTGACGAGAGGAACAGCAGGAGGGCCACGCGATCTTGTGCAAGTCTACAATTTCCAGCCGCGGGGCTCGACGAACTGCCAGGCTTTTACCTCAGAAGCTACTCCCAATGCAAAGGTAGTGGGGGAACCAACTGACCACATATATCTTCGGAGCTGACCAGTCTGCAACAGCGACGGACCGTAACAACTAATCAATTAATCCTCCTCAATTCCAGCAGCCCAGCAGTTGACATGCAGAGTCCGCAGCATCCAAATCCAGCACTCTTCAGACGAGTCCGAGTCATGAGGAACTGAAACATATCTCTGCCGCAGTTCCGCATGTGGAAGTTCAAGCTAGACCCCGTGCATTTGGCTTCCTTGATCGGCAGCGCACGACCTGACGTAAGTCCGACGGCTGCAGGCCTGCATGCTTGCCGCGATACCGCGCCGTAGGACCAGTTGCTGCCGGTTCTGTTCTCCACATTGCTGAGGCAGCCTGCTTGGCGGCCCCCTCTCGCGAACCAGCCGCTGCCTCAAGACGGAACCCTCCGTGTCTAGATGTCTTCCCCTACTCTGCAGGCTTCTTGAGGAACGAGAGCCAGACGCAGCGTATCACTGATTTTGATTTACAGCGATCTCTGTTTGAGCCATCCAGCCCCAAAGACTCAGTTCGAGAGAGCGGCAACCATCGGCCACCCAGATATACTCAGAGTTTGAGCACCTGGACTTGTGGAAGGAAAGAGCCGTATCCCCTGTTCAGGAAGATTGTGACAACGGGACTGGTTCTTGCTGTGCGGCTTTGAACAAGAAAGCAGGGCTGGCAGCCAATTGTCTTCAGCTGCGGTATGAAATTTCAGAAAGCTCAAGTCGAAACGCCCAAGCCCCAAAGATCTGCTTCATGAGCCTGCTTCTGCAAACACCTTGCATCGCCAGCCTCGCTCACGTCAGCCCCTTTAGCCCGGCACCCGAAAGTCAGCCCCAGGCGGCAGCGAGAAGCTTGCGCAGCAAACCTGGAAAACAAGTAAGTGGATATCGCTCTTGCAAGAAGGGTGTGCTGAGGTACACAACTTGTAGAACAAGACTAGCAGACGACTCCCGAAGCTGCAAGCTGCACATGCGCGGGGTGCAGATGCTCCCTGAAGTCGAAACCAGAAGTGAACAGTGATGAGGTAACAGAAACTGAGCAGCATCGAAGCATCCGAGGATTTTGTATTTGCGCGCTTAGAAGGCATGGCATGTCTTTGTACTACGGTAGGCTGGCATCATCTGATCAGAGCACCTCACCCTGAATCTCCGGTGTCTTCAAGACGAGCGAGCTGGGCCACTCACATATTGGGGGATGATCTAAAGGTCTAAGCAGGCATCTCTCTCAAAGTAACAATCAGCACCCCCGCCAAGCTTGTGCTACTGTTGATGATATAAGTCCTACATTACCTTAAGGACCCTAAACTATGGGAATTATGGTATATTCCTTACTATGGGTGCTGCAGGATTTATATCATCAACCGTATTGCAGAAAGTGCCCAACTCCGAACCATCCCGAGAAGCCTCAAGGCTAGAGAGCAGTCCGTGGGCTTGGCGAAGAGGAAACCAGTTTGCCTGAGTGAAGACGACGCTAAGAGTTATAATAGCATAACAGTACTAGAATACAGTTAGAATAGTATTCTGATAGTATAACTAATAGTATTTATTATAGTACTAATGCGCAGGTTCAGAGCTCCGGAATGATTTCCAACATGGAGCTCATGTTGATCGGGTTGCTTCCAAGCCTACCTTTACGCTTGCACCATGCGTCACTGAAGACAGAAGCCACGCATCAGAAGACAGTCTTGAACCGAAATGCTGAACAAGACACCAAGCCAGAACTGCAAACATAACATGTCTGCTCTTTGCATGCTGCGTGAGTTGGCCTTCCTTACATTCTGGTCACATGTGGCCCCCTGACTCTCCGGTACAAACAAAACCGAGTGCAGGGCCTGCGGCTGTGCATCTTGGCACGTCGGAAGACCTATGCTGCAGCCCGGACAAACAATGAAGCGAACACTGAGATCTGGGATCTTCAGTAACTGAAAGAGGGTGTTGGGATATCTCTTGCATAACGATGCATAATATGGAGCTGTACGAGGATGCTATGACTCAATATCTATTCCAACTCCGCAGTCTTCGGGTGCAGCAAGGCAGCCCTGATGGAGAAGACTTCGTGAACCCTGGCGCGAGGATGCGAGGATGAGGAGTGCCCTTTCTGACAAACATCGTTGTCCCTGATCTACTGCACAACCCTACACTTCCAACCACGACCGTGCAGTGGATGCAACCTGATAGAGAACTAAGCCTAATCTCGTTCCAGCAACCCTGAAGTGCACCGATCCTAGAGTGTTTTGCGGAACCTCAGAAGCAAGCCGAGGCCACCCGCGGAGAGCTGCCCAAGGGAGCAGTAAATCTTCAACATGCCTTTTGGGATCGGATCTCTGGCTTCCGATGGATCGCATGGGTTAGTTGCGAGGACAAGTGGGGGATCCATATCGGGTGGATCTCCCTTTGGGAGTGTGGGATGCAGGCCCTAAGAAGTTTGCAGATTTCTCAGCCATGCAGACACGGGGCAGCCAAGATGTGTTGCACCCTCAAATACTCCTATTCCCTGATGGAGGCCGGACTGAGCCATAATCAGCATTACAGACGGGTTGGATGACATTTTTCTACCAATCAGAATCTCAGACGCATGATCATTAACATCGGCAAAGCAAACACTATTATCGGCAGCGTTGTCAGCAGCATCATCATCATCATTATCATCATCATCATTATCGTCATCACTACGAGCATCAGAAGAAAGATCACCGCCACCGGGTCCCCAACCTGTCGCGAAAAAAGCCTTTGGAGGCCAGCAACACATCGAGCTCCCTGGCAAGGTGCTCGGGCTCAGAAATCACCACGCCTGCCATGACCAACCCGATCTCAGGCGTCGGACGGATTTGTTGGCAGTGTTGCATTTGCTGTGAATTAATCTGGAGGACCAGCAGAAATCGGCAAGAGTTGAGAAGGTTTCCTAGCTTTGCCCACCTTCGGACGCGACTGCATCCAGGTTTGCAGCAAGTTGCTGATGACCTGTCCAGTTTTAGCAATACTGAGGCCCAGGTGTGCTCTGAAGTGGGTAGTATTATGAGGGCTCTCAGGGTATCTTGCACTGAACCACAATTAGACAAAGAGGGCGACAAGGGGAATACTATTAGGAATTATCGCGACCCCTACAGTACAATCGCGCGCAAGGCTCTGATCGCAGAAGCTGGCTGCCTTGTGCAGGAATGTGACTCGCTACATCCAGCAGAACAGCCTTGTGGTGGGAAGCCGATGCAAGTTGGCTTCGGTTCCAAAAGTCGAATTTCGTCGGGCTTGTAGTGTGGCAAGGTTCCCTGAATTCAAAGCTTTGCTGAACCGCTCCGAGGAGCCCAGTCTGCACGGCCGCCCCAGGCAAGGCGACTCTGGTCAGTGGAATTCCGGCGAGCCAAGGAGATCACGTCGTCGGTTCTAAGCCTGGCACCAATGCTTGGGAGGGTCTACATAAGGATTCGGCACAGCACGTGTCGAAGGAACTTCCTGAAGGAATGTCAAGGAAGTGATGTTTGCCCTACGAGTTGAGCAATGCAGCTGGAACGAGGATTTGCAAGGCACCCAAACCGTGACAAGATGCAGCGCCACATCGTCGTGTGCTTCCGCTATGAAGAATATTAAGTATAGAACTGTATCTTATACTATATACTATATACTATATGCTATATACTACATACTAAATACTACAGACTATATACTATACTACATACTGTATATACTATATACTACATACTATACCACAGAATATAAGAAGGCGCCGGTTTGCGCCGGGCCGCTCGGACGCCTGCTCGAAGCTCACTGGTGCGAGCCCCAGACCTCTGCTCCGGTCCAGCTGAACGCAGATTCGTTTACTTAGGGTTTAAGGTTTAGGGGTTTAGTTTGTTGTTAAAGTTGGGTTTAGGTTGAGGGGTTCAGGGTTGAGGTAGACTTCTAGGATGTTGAGAAGATGCAGACACTTGTAGAAGCTTGCAGGGATTGGCAGCGACTACTTCCGGGGCTTAGCAACATAGGTTGCCGTTCTTTTTAGCATTTCACGTTATCGCTGGCCAGTTAGGCTGAACTGCATGCTTCGTGACATTGTGCGTAACGACAACTGGTTCTTGAACGGTCCGGGACTGGGGCAAAGGCTTCGCTTGGTACCCTGCTATAAACCCTGTAGTTGCAGGTCTGGAGCGCATTCCGGAGGTCTGAGAAAGGATTTTGTAAGTTAGGCTGTTTTGAGGCAGCCTAAACCCCGCTTCCGAAGCTTGACTCGCTGTAAGCCACTTTCCAACAAAGCTTCTCCGCCAAACCGCCTCAGACCCTTGGGCAATGGATTGCCAAGCCTACTTTTGCTGCAAAGCCGGCATCGTTACGTTATCGTTTTCGACACCATGTGGACACGCTACCAAGACCTGAAAATGTCGTCTGACCCCTTTGCGGCACAAGCCCTCCTATGAAAGCAAATAAAAGCCTGCGGAGCGTTCTCTGGACTTCCCAACTGAGGATGATGATGAACTTGCTGGGAACGTGGACTTAAGTAGGGCGTGTTCATTCGTTGTATTTTTGGCGCTGGAATGCAGGAAACGATAGCCTTATTGCTTCTGGTATTTCGTGTTTTCGTGGCCCATAAAAACCGAATATCGACCCTTCATCATTCACATTATCGCGGCACACAGAAGCCGAGCTCTTACCTGCAACGATCTTCTGCTAAACCCCGACAGCTAGCTCTTCCGAGAGAAACGCCTCCGCTAATGCTCATCAGCCGTTCCGCTATCATAGATGCCGTGCCAGTTTGGGCACACCTATTAAGAGACAGAGAGAGGGAGAACCAGACGTGTACATGTGCATGTATGCACAGCGTATATCTACACGTTATGGTAACCCCATGTGATGCATAGTTTCGGAGTTCCAACCTCATGCTACAGGGCTGGAAACCGTAGGACCTCAATACCTGCAGCATGCCACAGTTGGGTCCTGCACGAACCCCGCATGTCGCAGCTCAGAGCAATCAGAAATTGCACCAGTTAGTTGAGACATGATTCTGATACACAAGCCAGCGCACTGCGTCTGGAAGCAGCAGTTCAGCACCCTCCTCAGGCAAATCAGCAATGTGTTGGGTCACGACCAGCTCAGCAACACAATCGGTTCTGTTGAAACCCTTGAACCCTGTTTTCTGTACCATCAAAGCGGAAATCGCGAAAGTGCGTGCCGCTGCGAGCGCCAAGCTTTCTGCCAAGTGTCAGGAAAACTTCGTGCATTCCCAAGCCTTCCGCCTGCGCCGCCTTAGTAGCCAGGAAACGAAAGCACAAGATCGCCGTCTTGGCCCCGAAACGCGGCACGTCGTGCGAGCAGCGGTGAGAGAAACCCTAGGCCCTAAATCGCCCGAAAGCCGAAAATATCCAATCCAAGTATCCTCGACTAGTCGGGCCAGATCTCTGTCACCATCCCTGAAGGTGCAGGCACGAGTCGAGGTGAAGCTCCTCAAGACCGGAAAGAAAAGCGTATATCTACATTCTGTCATACTTATCTTGCTATGCAGTACTATATTACGTTCGAATGAACGGTATCTTACTACACCATGTTACATTCTCTTGTGTTAGATTATGCTTCGTGATGCTATGCTATGTCATGTTACATATCAGGAAGCTCAAGCCTGCAAGAACACGATGTGGGGGAGCTTTCTCTACCTTCGAGCCCCAGCCCTGTGGTCGTAGCTCGTGACGTGTTGGGCATCAGGTTCCGGGATTCTACCTAGGGCTTAGGGTTTATAGGGTTTAGGGGTTTGAGCCACCTTTTCAAGGATGCTGACCCGAAGCTTCACGGGGTTTTAATTTCAAGCCGGCAAAAAGCCAGTATCACCTCATGACTGCCGCTTTTCCTGGCGCCAAAAACCCCCGGAATCCGATCCTGGATTCTACTTAGGGTTTAGGGGTTTGAGCCACCTTTTCAAGGAAGCCTAAACCCTAAACCCTAAACCCTAGGGATCCTGGGATTCATGGGCTGGGTCAGGTCAAGCTCCAAGATGTCGTTGCCCAGGACCGGCCGAAGTCCTCGCGAGAACAAAGCTTATAATATAATATAACATATAATGCAATGTAATATAACATAACATAATATAATATCAGATCAATATATCATATAATATATTGAAATAGGATATGATATGATATAATATGATATGATATGTTCCCAAAAGCTTCTTGTAGCATGACGTGTGCAAACACATGTCGTCTCGGCCGAGCATCTGCTTGGACAGGCTTCCACTCTAATGCTCATGACGTGGAGGGCGGGACAGATGAGGCCATGCTGACCCTCTCCCGAATCCTGGCAAACAGTTGCTCCCAAAGTATCTGAAAGGCTCCTGGCATCTTGTCGACCCCAACGATGCTAGTTGGGTGGTACCTTGCATTGATCAAATCCGCTTAGAGGATCGGGGATGGCGGTCTCGGCGAGATGACCACGGTGATGACCGTGATGACTTATGATGATGCCCGTGATGATGCTGCGATGATGATTCTGTTGCTGTTGCGGTCGAGGGTACTGAATGGAAGGGTGATGACGCAATGGAGTGGAAGGGAAACATACTGATAATGTGACGCTGGTGCTAATGCTGGTGATGTGGATGTTGATGGCGGTCAAGGAAGGGATGCTGCTGACAATGATGATGGTCCTGATGGTGCAGATTGTGGCAATCAAAATCATCATCACTGTGATCAGCGTGGGCGCAAGTAGTCCAGGCATGACAACATCGATGACGATGCCACGAACAACAGGCACGACTTTTCGATTCCCTCACTTTCAGCCACTGGTCACGGCTGCTTCGCACTGTCCACTCGTTTTGGGACAGTGGAAGGTACTCTGTTTACAGACATCGATCCAATCTGGACAAGTTGCAGATGATGCTTGAGGGAACATGTGGCATGTAAACGCCCCTGAGCTCTTAAGCTAATCATATGATGATATAGGTTGATGGTCATTTGCAGCAAACATCCTGTTTCAGCTGATCTTATGGACGAGTCCAAATCATTCCCACAAAGCATGAAACTTCGCCGAGGAAATCAGCCTTGCATGCGCACTGTCCCGACCGATGAGAAGGAGGAAGACGACAACGACCACTACCACGACTAGTATCACAGCGACAAAAACGCTGCAGATTTGTACTTCGGCTACTGAGTACCTACTGGAGGAAGAACAGTCGCTGTTGGGGATTCTGCTGTTACAGCAGCCTCGCTGTGGTTGGTACTGTAGCTTCTTTTTTGGCTGCTGCTCTTCTAATTGCTATTGTTCGCAATCGCGGCTTTTGTTGTTGTCGGGACAGTTGCTTGATATGCTGCCAATTATGTTGTTCGGAACGATGATGAATGGTGATATATGGTGATGACCGTGATACTTGGGATGGTGCTGGTGAGGAATCGCAGGATGATGAGGATGAGGGGAGTCGGGGGGTTGAAGAAAACCAATCCTATGGCGACTTTAGATTGCGACAGCGATGGAAGCTGGCGGCGTTGGTGGTGATAGCCGGGAACCGACACGTGAAGCTAAGCAGCTGGAGCCACCGCTCTATCATCAATCCTCGGCCGCAGCCCAAGTCCATCCTCAAGGCTTCACGCTGAAGAAAACACCACCGTGCAGGATCAGGGATGGCCATAGAGATCATAGAGCTTCCCCCAAAACCTCTGCTGAAATTGAAAGTTATCAAGCCTAAGCAGACCGCAAGGGACGCTAAGCATGTCCACTGTTTGCCGCTCCCCACAGCAGAAAGCCCTTATGACTCACTGTCCAAGGTCATCCGGCAAAGGCTCGCGGTTAGGGTTTTGGGGTGCTGCACGGACAGTTGTTTTTGGTGTCAAAGGAATCCTGTAACACAACGAGCGGCCAAACCGTTCCCTGTCAAGCCCATCCTAAACTCGAAACAATTCTCGACATCTGCGGTCGGAATCCCTGCAAGCAAATTGCAGCCGGGCAGCACTTTCATGGGGCGGCCAATGCGAACAAACTCTGCAAACCAGAGATGAACGAGCCTGTGCAAGCTGCGTTTTGTATGAGGTCCCGAATTCGGAAAAGTGTATCAAGGGCCCAGTTGCCACGTTAGCTACGGCGGAAGAACGACAGTATCTATCATGATATGAGGCCTGCTTGCAAGTTTGCAACCTTCAAGACACCGGCCTTCCCGTGACAGACTGTCACCCGAGAAGCTCACATGCACAACCGACAAGTCCCACACGCCGTGGAAAAGCACACACTGGCGGCTAGAGGGAGTCTTTTTTCCACTACCTGAGGAGTGGTGTGGTCCGTCTCGTACCAACCTGCCCAAGCCTCTACAAGGCGAGCTTGTCGGTTGTCCGAACTTCCACTCTAGCGCGGAACGACCACTCATTCGCGCTCTCACTGGGCAACCGGGTGCAACGCTAACAGGTTGACCGGCTTCTCAAAGAGGGGCCTGACGGGTTCCTGCCAGTGCAACGAACGTAAAGCAAGTGGGGTCTTTGCGGCTGAGGACACTTCTTCAGCGGGAAGCAACGTGGCTTCAATGAAAGTAGCAAAGCTGACAGCCGACTTCAGAGGCGGGTTCAGCTTTTTCTGTGGAAAAGGACAGTGCCAACGGGAGTACACTGCCTCTAAAGGGGCCTTGCCGACTCCCCCGAAGACCCAGGAGCACACAAAGTTTGCCTGCCAGGTGAGCTGCCTCATCCTGGCTTAGGGTGCCTGCTAAGAAGGTTTTTTGGATCAACTTTTTGGATCAACTGATCCAGCTTCTCGATCCTGAACTTACTGGGCCTGCAGTGACTGAACTGTTGAGGAACTCCTAACAGGGTGGGGGATTCTGTGCTTTGCTCTCCTTCATGGTAAACCCCAGCAAGGAGGACTGAATGGAGCAGAAGCTGTTGAATCCTGACTGGGCAGTCCTGACAGGCTCAATGTGGTAAATGTCGACAAAGTGCGAGGCAGGCAAGAAGGTTAGGACTAACGTGAGAAAACAAATCACGTCTGCTACCCGGAGGCCCGGAAGTACGCCCAAACACTCCCTGTGCCTCCAAAGTTGAGGACCAGGACCCTGGAGAACGAACGTGCGCAGCCACTGGGGATGCTGCTTTTCAGATAACAGGACGGCTGCTTCCGGAACATAGCGCAGAACAGCGCTGCTACCCCATCTTCCTAACAGCTGTATGTAAGGCACGTCCAGCAACGAACGGGCGAAAATCTGTGGCATCCCGCTTCACCGGCCACGCGGCTCTCCCCATTAATTGGAGGACTGGCCAGAGTTCTGACTGGCAGGCTTTCGCAGGCGGAGGCCGAACAGGAGGCTTGCCATCCTTGGGCAAGCCAGGCGGCTTGCTGAGCGGCACTTCGGTTCCTTTGGGGGTGTCGGCGGGAACGACGGGAGCAGTCTGCAAAGCCTTCTTGGGCATGGGCTGCACTCCGGTGGCTGCCTGGCCCCCGAACCTAGCATCTCGGCGGCACAGGCAGCCGGGTCGAACGAGGAGGATAGTCCTCGACCGCGAGCTCGTCGACACCTAGGCGTCATAAGTAGCCTGATCCCCCTGCTGACGATCAGCATTCAGACCTTCAGCCACAGACTGGCCCACAAGTGCCGCTAACCTGGAGCGGTGCGAGACGCGGAACTCGCCCAAACCCAAGGAGTCCATGAGCTCATCTTCTGAAGCCTCACACAGCACCTTCACTGCTGCCAGAACCACGGGACTAACTTGTCCCTGACATGGCTCGGCACGAGAGGCTCTACGAAGAAAAACTGACAAACTCGAGCTGCAACGGCTTCAGCAGCTGCTTCTTCCTAACAGGTGTTTGCGCCTAACTGGTGGCAAACACGAAAGACTTTCACACGCTGAACTTGTCACAGTGTGCACACGTGCACTGCCCGACAAGACAGGCTCAAACAAATCCTTCTTGCCGCGGAGGTGCCGCGCGCTCAGGAGTGGATCGAACTTGAAGAAGCCGGAAAGAGTGAGGTAAGGGAAAGCCGACCTAGAAACTGGAGTTCAGAGCGTGGGCTTCGGAGTGTGGGAGTTCAGACTTCGGTAAATTGGGAGGGAAGGTCCGGGACGAGCAGAAGTAGGTTTAGTGGGCCTTTGCCTGTGCAAGAACTCTTTCTGACGGTGATGTTCCAATACATGCCCCCACTAGACCAGGCATCACAAGCAGTTCCTATAGATTCTGTAGATCACCGGTCTAAGAAATGCTTGCAACCCAGCGACCACTTTGTGTCTAGCAGGTATCCATTCGGATGCGAGGGCACTGAACGCCTGCAGTTGTCCTTCACTATTGCATTGTTCAGAACCAAGTGCACGACACATCAATTCAACGTGCCGGAGATAGATCAGGTATGGTTGGAAGCCAGTATACAGAAAGAGGCCGAGGACTACTCAAGCGTTGCTGCAGGGCATCTCGGTGCCACCTGTCTGGTGCCATCGTTTGCTAAACTTGTGCTAAGTTGAATCTCTGGCTTATCGGCGAGCTGGCTTGTGTTCATGCGCAGCCGCAGCACCTGCCTCTTGTGATGGAATGAGAAAACTTCGACGACGCAGTGCAAATCATCTCCGCCGAAGGTTCACTCGAAGAACCGAGGACACCACGCCACCCACCCAGACACAGACACAGACACAGACATAGACAGAGACAGACAGAGACAGACAGAGACAGACAGAGACAAACAGA